ACCACAGTATATACATTGCAAGGAAATATGGGAAAAATTGGAAGTGAAAGTAATTTTGCCTTGAAAAAAAAAGTGGCCACCCCCCCCACCCCCACCCCCCCCCCCATTTCATTTTTTTTCCTTGTTAATTTTTTTAGGTTAGTAAAAAAAATTTTCTCAGGTTGCCCCCCCCCCACTTTCAAAAACGATGCTACGTGCCTGAATTATATAGAATTATTTTGACTTTTTCCTTGGTAAGCCGCCCGTAGGATTGTGCATTTAGAGGCAAACACCTTAGTGCGGGTATTACTGTCTCATGACAGCATCTAGTGGTCTTTGGAAGTATTTATCAGGACAACAATTCAAGTCTTGAAAGCAGGAATCTTCACAGGAACAAGGCGGACAACGCTCAAGTGTCATGTGAGGTTCATACTTTGTTGTACCTGCCCAGTCAAAACACATATCCTTTTCTCCACAGGCTTCAATATAAATTGTCATCAGCCTTGACACATTGAATCCAGAAGTTAGGCAAATCGCCGACAAAAACCAAACAGCAACTGATTCTTTCATTGCTCCTGCTATTTTTTTTATTTCATGTTGAAATCTGTAATAATTGTTAAACATATTTTTTTTAAGAATTCATCATCTTCATAACTTGACTTTCCTCTTAACGAGGCTAGGGGGTGGCAGCCATTTTTAGACTATTTCAACCTCCTTTAAAGGAGAGCTCCATATAAAGATATACAAAATGATCAAATTTTAAAACTAAAATATATGAATTTTTTCTTTGTCAAATGATAGTTGACAGCTAACGATACCGTATGTAAAAAATAATTTAAATCTGGTGGTTAATTTGGGATTAATTTGTTGACCCTTCAGCCTCCTTAAACGGTGCCTCAAATTATATACATGTTATTATCAGTATCATACTATCTTAAATGCAAGTCAAACTGTAGCGTCCAAACATTATAATTGTTTTGTTTCCATGCATATCGAAAATGTTGGGTAAATAGTTATTTACTGCTTGGAATATGTAGGAAAATAATAAAAATTTATATTTGATACAACAGATATCTGAGAATTGAGGAGGATCTCTCTCTCTCTCGTACATTTCTTTGTTCAATGAAATCTATGACAGCATATTACTTATTTATTTTGAAAACTTAATCTATTACAAATAATTTGATTTCCTCTTTCCATAATCTCGTCCGAGTATATAATCACGACCGGGAAATGTCTACAGTTAGCTAAAATAATCATCATCAAATAATAACAAGAAACACATTGACGCAAGCGTCAAAAATCGGCCGCAAACCAATTAATTAATTCTTTCATAATACAGTTAGAAACTAAATTCTTATATTTATCTGTTAATATATATCCCTATGACATTAAACATTTGAATGCAACATTCCAGGGTTTTCTTCAGTACATAATACCTGTACATTGCTACATGTACAATGTATTTAAGCAACTTACTCGTAGTCCTCTTCGTCCCCGCACTCAGTTTCATTTGTACAAACGAACTCTGGCGGAAGTTTGATGTTTAAGTAGTTTTAACACTTAACCATCAAAACTAAGGTTTAAACTTATCTAACAAGAGATAGTTTAACTTTAAATAAAACGTAACAACTACGTGGGGCTCCTCGCTCGCTCAGAGGATGTTGAAACCCCCAACTTCCCTCTAGATCCGCCACTACATTTTTTCTCTCTCTTGTTTTGGTGTGAGATGTGGCGGGAAAAAGGCTTGGCATATTGTAAAACGCGATTTGTTCTTGTCTGTTGGAGAAAAATCTCCTAATATTCTGTTTGATAATAAACTAAGATCAAGTCATATTTTTGAAAACTTTCCGTATTAAAAGTACATTGTATATTTATATTTACACGTCATTTTAAATTATTTATACAACAAATCCTGTTGAAGTAGAGAAAGTCAATTTGTTTATACATGTATATAACGCGGCCCTTGCTTTAGACTATGCCCAACATGTGTGCTTATTTCTCCGCACTTCAGTTACGTCGGAGTTTGTCAATCAGGATTGGATGAAAAATTTAACCCATTATTTATAAAATTTTAATTTTATGATTATTGTGCGTTTTTGTTTAACATTTAAAAAATCTTTCTTAATATTCTATTACATGAATGTTAAATATTTTTTATTCAAATTGTTCCAACTCCGCAGAAACGCACGGCGACTTAAAACTTTCATATCATATAACCGACCGCCTCCTGGCGGCCGGTAAAAATAACACAAAAATAAATAATAATTTGCATTTGGATTTTAAAATTTGAGTGTATTTACGCAATATGTCAACAGACATCAGTGAATAAAAAGAAGAAAACATTGATGAACCATCAATTGTCACCCGTGAAAAAAATAAAGTAAACAATGGAAATGTGTCTCGATCATCAAACCGCTTCAATATGAGTGAAAAAGGCATGCGTCTAAATGATGGAGACGAAAGTCCAGAATATTTAGAAAACTTTTAGTCGGATGAAAATCGACCAAAAACGGTGCCCTTTTTAAATTTAATCAATTCCTCATGTAAAAGTTGGCTGCATTATATATATTGAAACTAGAGTCATGCATCATCTACAGAAGTGGATCAATTTTTTATATTTATACTACACGCGTTCGGTAAGAAATACACATGTTTTACGGCAATTAAAAAAGTATGTGCAGACAAAATTTTATTTATTATTTGTTAACCAATATTATTTATTTATATTTTAGCAACTGTAATTAGAATTATAGAATAATAGAATAATTTCAATGCAAATAAAAGATCGGAGGCATTCCGAATAAATCGTTAATCTTGCGTTTACCGTTCACTGTGCACTCGCGTTCGCGCTCCGGTCGCGTTCTGCATTCACACATCGTTCACCAAGTTGCATGCAGCGTTCGCACATTGTTCACTCACCGTTCGCTCTGTGTTCGTTAAGCGTTCGTTCAGCGTTCGTTCACCGTTTAGGTGGGAAAGTTGAACATTTCAGGAACCTTAAGTCTATCTCCAAGGTCAATAGTATGACCGGTAGAAATACTTAAGTTAGTACTTTATCTAATAATTATGGAAAGCCACAGGGGACCCCCAAGTCATGTTCTATATATTCATAGTAATTCAATCTTGGGCGGTCATGTTTACAATCCCGGCCAAGTCATGATCGGCCACACGGGACCCCCAAGTCATGTTCTATATATTCATAGTAATTCAATCTTGGGCGGTCATGTTCTATATATTCATTGTAATTCAATCTTGGGCGGTCATGTTCTATATATTCATTGTAATTCAATCTTGGGCGGTCATGTTCTATATATTCATAGTAATTCAATCATGGGCGGTCATGTTCTATATATTCATAGTATTTCAATCTTGGGCGGTCATGTTCTATATATTCATTGTAATTCAATCTTGGACGGTCATGTTCTATATATTCATTGTAATTCAATCTTGGACGCCAATGGACGGTCATGTTCTATATATTCATAGTAATTCAATCTTGGGCAATCGTGTTAACAATCCTCGCCAAGTCATGATCGGCCACACGGGACCCCCAAGTCATGTTCTATATATTCATAGTAATTTCAATCGGTCATGTTATGATTGCAACTCTGACCAAGTCAGGTTTGGTTTGATAGCATAACATGGCCTTCTTATCTTTGCCGGTCATGATTTGACAACCCTGGCCTAGTCAACATATATCCCATGTTTTACATCTTGACTAGGCCATGATTTTCTATCCCAAGATTGCATTGGCCAAGATACATTACTTCCAAACGCAGTCAAGATTTACTTCCCAAGATTTTATAGGATCGAGATTCGGCCAAGATAGCACATAACTTCCATACGCAGTCAAGATTCACTTCCCAAGATTTCAAAAGACAAAGACTAATTTCCCAAGATTTCAAAAGATCAAGAATAGGCGAAGATTTTTTCGCGGCAAGCATCGGAGTCGAGACCCACTTAAAGGTAGGGATTTTTTTTTGGTTGTATGTCACGAATATAGGTATTATCTAAAAAATATGGATAAAAATATATCTGTTTAATCAAAGGAAGACCGTATGCATTTCACGTTTTCCTCTTTTTGCTTCTTTCTTTGACATTAGAAACAGAAAAAAATAAATTCTCACAAGATTGATATTTACAGTTTAGAAAAGGCAGAAACTGATGAATAAGATAACATGAAAGAAGACTAGGCTTATTTTTTTGTTTTATTTGGCCCAACTTAATGGCTTACTTAATGGCTTTATTTAATCATGTTTAAAAAACTTAAATGAAGGATATGGAGATAACAAACAGTATTCAATCTCAACGTCCATTAAACAAATCTATAGGCCTACAACCCGTTTTCATGTTGACAATAATAACAGAGATGATAAACAAGTGTTAGATCAGTAATATTGTTTTATTTAGTTATCATGGCTATAGCTTTGTGTTACAGCTTTATTTATTTTTTATGACAAAATGTAGCATTGGGTTGGTTGTATTTGATTTAATGGTGACACATACAGTATATTTTCTATTTTAACTATTTTGTAATATACATAATGGCTGTAATTTAACTGATTTGCAGAGTGACATTCGGTTACATTGGTTACAATCCTTACCCTAGCCCCAGTGAACCAATTAATATTAATTAACCATATTCCTAACCTAACCCCTTTCCCTAAGGCCAGGTAAAATTAATCTTTAGATTCTCATCCTAATTTGCTGAAAAATTAGGGCGGGTGATCGGATTTTATTTTTTATTTTTTATAATTGTTAATTTATATATAGGCCTAAGTATCAACAAAACAATGGAAACCCCGTACACATTTTTTTCAATACCTTAATACAAATATGAATAAGATTTAATTCCTTTCATACTCTTTAAAAATCTAAAAAACATTTTTGCTTTAAAAATCAAATATTTATTGTTGATTAACAAATTATCAAGTACACATTATACGGCACACCCTGAAGAAAATGAGGTAGGGATACCAATAAATTGCGTATGCGTGACTTCTTATTTTGCAAAATCTATATAAATGTTCTAATAATTATTCTACTGAAAAATCTATGCCTTCTCTTAACTCTGTCTATAATGTTGTAGATTTTTTTTTATTTCAAAGCAAAGTCACACAGCTGGAGATCGTTATATATAACTTGACCAGGTGTCATTTTCCTCGTCTATTTTTACTTAGTTACAATCTCTCTACATACTTGCTCCTGCCAGTGATGGTATCTATATGTGTTTATGCTATTTTTTTCCTCTGCCTTCTCTATACTGACAAATTATCTTTTCCTTACACATTTAAACTGCTTTTATTGCCGATTTTTCTCCATTCTTTACATGGCGTTTTTGCTATAAATAGCGGCACGCGACTTTTAATACAGGCGGGAGATAATTCTTAAACTGAACCAAATTCTTACTGAATAAAAAAACATGAAAATACCCAAAAATCAAAATAAAAAACACCGGGGCGGGGCATTTCGAGAGGGACTGGTGGGATGAGAATCTAAAGATTAATTTTATCTGGCCTAATCTGAAAAACTAATTAACCCACATCCTAACTAACAGTATATCCCTAACGTTTATTCCCACCCTAACTAACCTTTATCCCAATCCCAACTAACCTTTATCCCAATCCCAACTAACCTTTATCCTAATCCCAACTAACCTTTATCCCAATCCCAACTAACCTTTATCCCAATCCCAACTAACCTTTATCCCAATCCCAACTAACCTTTATCCCAATCCCAACTTACCTTTATCCCAATCCCAACTAACATTTATCCCAATCCCAACTAACCTTAATCTAAATCCCAACCCTTACCCTGACCCCAAATCCTAAGTATAATTATAAACCCAACCTAACCCTTCTCCCAAATCCCAAACACTAAGCAAAACCATAACTATAACCTTAAACTCTAATTAATCTAAACCAAAATTACTCAATTCCCAGCAGTGACCTAATTTTAACCCTATAGTCCGAATATTTATATGTATTTCTTAACCTATGTTTCCAGCAACCACTGTTACCTGACTTAAATACATAAGAGTTGATTAACCAATGTAACCAATGTGGTTGCAATTGGAAAGGGGTAAAAGTCGTAACTAAATCATATGTTAAATTGACTAATTTTATCAGAATGGCAAAACTTGGGCAGAAAATTGTGAGGGCTTTTGAAAATGAAGAACACTGTGATGTACGTATCACACTAGCTGATGGAACTATCATGTGTGCACATTCATTAGTGTTGGTCATTGGTTGTCAATACTTTCATACCCGATTAAATGGAAATTGGAACAGTGGAAAAGGGAACCATGAAGTAAATTGCAGTGATTTTTCTGCAGGCCTTACACGGTCGATGATTAAGTTTCTTTACCAAACAGATATTGATCTGTCAATAGAAAATGTACAGGACATTCTACAAATTGCAGATTTCTACATCGTTCCTGATTTAAGAAAGAAGTGTGAAGAGTTTTTGCTCTCTTCAATATCATGTGAAAATGTTTTTTCCATCCTGAATATGGCTTTTACATTTAGCATAGAAAATGTTTTGTCATCTGCATTGTCATTTATTGACAATTATTTAGAAAACATTATGTCTATCAGAGAAAATGCAGACTTGTTTTGTACATTTCATAAAGATCTGTTAATTCTTTTAATCAAAAGAGACTCACTGTGCATTCATGAAGAAAAACTCTTCAAATTTGTTGTTATGTGGATGAATTCTGAAAATAGAGCTGAACCTGTTTGTTGGAATACACTTGTTCCTCACATTAGATTTGGAAGAATGTCTATTGATTTTTTCATAGAAAATATTGTTTACAAAAATGTTATAGAAAGTGATTATGCTTTGAAAATCATGTTATATATGTCCTCTTTATCTACACAGAAAGATGTGATTGATCACAATACATATCGTCCAAGAAAGTGTATTTCTTTAAATGATCGTGTAGTGAACAGGTTTTTTTTCCATAGTCCGAATAGTACATGGGAATATGATGCCATTTATGGTGACCGACTAGCTTTTTCTGTAAACTCAGATGTTAGATTATCAGGAGTTATTCTCTTTGGTGCCAAAAACTGTTCATTGTGTGTTGAAATTACCCTTTTTTCTGAAGACTGTATTGTTAAATTAAAAATACGAGAGGAACTTGGAGATGTTTTTGATTTTCCTGTAATTTTTCCAAATGCTGTCGAGATAAAAAAAGAAAAAAATTATACCATTGTTGCAAATGTTAGTGGAAGTAATGTCTTTTTTGGGTTGGATGGTGTAGAGTGTGTAAAAACAATGATTGACAGTAATACAAAGGCTGAAGTTAAGTTTTTTGACAGTGTTGGTAGCAAAACAAATACAAGAAGAGGTCAAATTAAAGGTTTAATTTTGTGCTAAATTTAAATTTTTGCTGACAGACATTTTACACGTTTAAAGTTATTAAACTTTATAAATTGTTTGGAAAATAGCTTTCAATTTGAATTCCTTGGATTAACTTAAATCTTCTATTAATAACGAAGTTAATTTGTTAAACATTATTATTTTATGCATATATTTTCAAATTGAATATGGTAGTTTTGTATTTGCTCAACCAATTGCAATGCATTTATTGATTTAAATGCATCAAATATATCATTTGTCATAGCTATGGTTACATTGTTTTAATATCATTGGTCTAATAGACAAGCATTTTACTGCATATGTGATTAGATTTTATATAGTCATAACAGAATACAGATATTGTGTGTGACTCATAAAAAACAAATATATCATGTATATGAAATACTATTAGAGCTTGAAATGTATTCAGTTTGTCAGAGGTTATGTACTTGTACTGCATAAAAGATAATAAATGTAAAACTCTTACATGTATTTTATTTCATAAGTCCCTTTTTTTGGTGAAACTGGATGGGATTCGATTTATATACAAATCGGGTTTGTTCTTTCGTAGAATTTTCTCAAAATCTATTCATAGCTCAACGTTAATGGTAAAAGTTATTTGAATATGGAACTGCAGAGCCAAATTAAATGTAAGCAAAAAAGAATGATACTATGAAACGATGATGTGTTTAAAAAGTGAATGAATTACATTATTATGACAAACATTGATTAAGAAAATAGATTAGATTTAACTATAAGAGTTTTTTTAGAAAGCTGCTTAGGTATTGAGAGATAATATTCACAATTGGCACACAGTATTGTAATATTGAATTGGGCTAATATCCAAGCAGTGTTTTATAAAAGAACAAACAAGTTCTGATCAAATTTATAATGATTATATTTGAGGTATGTCATTAAACGCACCCTTGGTGTTCTGCCATTTTGCCTTATTTGATGTATGTAGTATTACATGAGTTTTAAGAATTCTTTGATCAATAAAGTTTTGATAAAATAGCATGTGTAAAACTACTACTCACAAAAAGTCAAGCAACTATCTCAGAAGGTATGTTTTTAAGGGAGAAATAACTTGTAATAGATGGTTTTGTTGCAATACCTTCAATTACAAGTAATTTTTTCCTTTAAAAAGAATAAAAATGAGTTTGTTGCTTGACTTTTTGTGAGGGGTATAGGTTACATTTTCAGGGTTTAATTTGGTATGTGCACCATAAATGAGGACACAGAATTATGGATGAAAGTAAGTAATATTCATTTTGTAACTAGGGCACTGCAAGTATTTGCCGATGCCAATTAAGCAATCACCTTATTAGTACCCTACCGGTTTCACTGGTATAAAAATATTGTATTTTTATGACCATTATCATTATGACAGACTAGTAAATGAATGCTTGTATATTTTTGTAGATTTAAAAGACATCATTAGAAGGTACCACAGAAGAGGTTTATCTCACAAGGAAATTCACTTTTTACTGAAAATAAGACATGGTCAAAACTATAGGTATGTGTGTGTACATGTATATATAGCTACATATAATTTGATTAGAAAGAAAGAAAAAATAACAATTTCTTAAAAAAACTACACAAACAACATCAACCCCATCCATTCTTCTAGCATACATATAAAAAAAAACAAAGTTATCAACCAACCTTTTCTTAAAATTTATTCAATAGAAATTAGATTTTATAGCTAGAAGCTACCCACCCCCTCCTTCTTCCAACATTGTTTGAACAACTTAAAAGAAAGTGAAGGGATTGTATATTGAAATCAAATTCAAAATATAAGGAGACTATTGCCACCCCTTTTTTCTTCTCCACTTCGAAAAATGATGCTACTTGTTTGAATATTCAGAGTAGTTGCATCTCTTTCCTCGTGCTTTTGTATTGAATATGCACTGTGCAATGCTGCTGCTAACACTAACCTTCTAAAATAAAGGTGTGTTGGTCTGTTAATGACATGCTAATTAAGGCTAATTAATTTTAATAAAAAAACTTTTTTTATTCACTGAAAGGAATGAAATACTTTAAATTTCTATTTTCTTCCAGTTTCCAATATCTGAAGAGAAAAGTAATACCAAGATTAAATTTAAATGACAGAAGAGGAAATAGAAACCTGCCAGATTTTGATGAAGTATTGGATCTGATAAAGGTAAATTCAATGTACACACACATATGCATGTGCCTGTGTGTGGAGGGAGAGAGAATATATAAATAAAAATGCATGCATAATGTGTCTGTGTGTTATTTTTACTTTCAGAATGAAGTGAAAATAAAACCAGATCGAAGTATCTCTGACATGTTTTTCAGATTGAAAACAATCCATGGGTGCAATGTTCGAAGGTAAAGTAGACTTTTTTAGCTCACCTGAGCCGAAGGCTCAAGTGAGCTTTTCTGATCAAAATTTGTCTGTCGTTGTCGTTGTTGTCGTAAACTTTTCACATTTTCATCTTTTTCTCAAGAACCACTGGGCCAATGTCAACCAAACTTGGCACAAAGTATCCTTGGGTAAAGGGGATTCAAGTTTGTTCAAATGAAGGGCCACGCCCTTTTCCAAGGGGATATAATCATGATTTAGAGAAAAATTATTGGCATTTTTAAAAAATTTTCTCCTCAAGAACCACTGGGCCAGGAAAGATGAAACTCGTGTGGAATCATCCTCAGGTAGAGTAGATTCAAGTTTGTTCAAGTCATGACCCCCATGGGTAGGGTGGGGCCAAAATGGCCGATCAAAGTTTTACTTAGGAATATATAGGAAAAATCTTTAAAAATTCTCTTCTCAATAACCACTGGGCCAGGAAAAATGAAACTCGAGTGGAATCATCCTCAGGTAGTGTAGATTCAAGTTTGTTCAAGTCATGACCCCCATGGGTAGGGCAGGGCCAAAATGGCCGATCAAAGTTTTACATAGGAATATATAGGAAAAATAGAAATATATAGGGAAACCTTTTTAAATTATCTTTTCAAGTACTTCAAAGCCAGGATTAGTAATATTTGTATGGAATCATCCTCAGGTAATGTAGATTCTAGTTCGTTCAAAGTATGATCCCCTTGGCAATAAAAATTCAAGCCCCCTTCCCCCAACATAAATTAACTTTCAGTTCTGATCTGAAATGTTTTTTCCTAGCTGATGGGCTCAGGTGAGCATTGTGGCCCCAGGGCCTCTTGTTAATATTTCTCCTTGGTTACACACAGTTGCAGGAACACAGAGAATGTGGAAAAAATGTATCAATTTTTACTTTTTTGATAGAGAATTGGTGAGGCAAATAATGAAAGCACTAGACCCTGTCGGCGTGTCCCTCAGGAAGGGAAACAAACTGAAACGAAGACAGTACCTTAGTAAAGGTTTTTCATAATTATTTACTTTGATTGTAGAGTTACATGTGCAAAAGTTTATGGTTTATAATTTTTGTTCAATACATGTACTGCATTTGGATTACTGTAGTAAGATAATATTTTGTTGAATCCTTGTCATTGCAATTTTAACAGGTCCCAATTGGCTTTTGCATATAGGTAAGTTAGCATTTTTATGAAAAAATTGCAAATAGATTTTTTTAAAAAAACTTTTAAGGCAGTGATTCATTTTGACGTGGTGCGTCCTGCATGAAATATACACAAAATTTGCTCAGTTCACATAATTTCACTATTTGTGCATCTCATTTTAAAAATACACATGCCCATGCATTTTTTCGCTAGAACAAGATGCCCGAAATATTCCGAATTCAAACACACTACAAAAGCAGAAATCTCATAGGTCAACACTTAATAATTAACCAATGAGATCCAATGATACATGACATTACCTTGTTGATGTTGATCATGATGCTACCAAATAAAACGGACAAAATTACTCCGGATCCAGGATAGATTAACCAGGGTTTATGAAAAAGTAGACAAGTGGCAGTTAATAGCAACAAAGAGGTTCATGCTAAAAGGAACGCTGATCCAGAACGTGTAATAAATGGCTATTGATACAGGCGATAAGGAAACAGGCAAAACTCTGAAGGGTCCCAGTGACAGCACTTTGCCTGTCTCTTAGTATGGTCATTTAACATTTTAGTTTAGATAAGCATAGCTTGTTTGATATTCATGTTCTAGGTAAAATAAATATGGACTTGTTTTTGGTTTGGGACTCATAATTATGGTTAAAAGGGGGCCTTTGGACTCGTATAGACAATTTTCAAAATGAATCACTGTTATTAAAGTTGTTAATTCAATTTAAATGGAATTAAAGTATTTTATTAACATGTTTTATAGTACTGTAGCGCATGAGCAACGTGTAATGTAAATATATAAATATATTTAGTTTCTATGCTTTGAAACCAGTCATTGCAATGTACGTAAATTTCAAATACATTGGTGAAGTCTGCTGTTCAATGAATGCCAGTAAACAGCAGAATGAATCATTTATGGTGTATATAAATTTTTAAATTAAAAACTGTATGATATTTAGTATCTTTTTTAATAATTGTAGATCAGTATGATAAATTGAGCCCTTTTGGGATTTATATCAGTGGATGCATTGATGGGTAGGTAAACATAAAATGTTGGGAATTTATTAATTATACTTTTTACTATATCCTTAGAGATGTAGGCACATTTGATAGCATTGACAGATTTAACCCTGTGTTTGAGTCTAGTCTGTCACTATTGCGGTTACGTTGGGCAAGTTACTTTACTAGTGCACTCTCTCCACCCAGAGTTTAATTTGGTAATGCAAAAGCTTACAAATCTTACATGTTCCATTGTAATTTTAGGTTTTCCCGCTATGTGCTATGGGTGGAAGCTGGTGTCAGCAATAAAAACTGCAAAAAGATTGCAGGGTACTTTTTGAAGACTTTGGAGAATGTTAAAGGTACATGTAATTCAGTGCAAAGATTTGGAAGAGTTGGTTTGTTAAATGAATATATTGAAGACAATATCTCATTTGATTTCTGGAGTTTAAGCAAGATGGCTTGTTTTCTGTAATATTTTTTTTTACCTTTTGCATCTGTTAATGTTGATGTTTATACATATTGTATACTGATTTGTAGGATTTCCACATATTATTCGAGGAGATGCAGGTCAGTTTTTTTTTTTAAAAACGGTGTGAATTTAAAAAAAAAGAGAGAGAGGAATAAATCAGGTTATTGATTTGTCAGGCTAGTAATAACATGGATACCCCTGCAAATAAATCTAAAGGAGGTATGCTGGAATCATCCAGTCTGTCTTTAAGAACAATTTGTCCCCCATCCTATAGATTTTTTTTTCCTACTGCATAGAAAAGAATGACAATTGGTGCATTTTTTGAAAAAAACCATTTGAATATGTGAACCTGCAATGTTTAGCTCTACTGGTCAGAGACCAGAAGAGCATATGCAAAAGTAATGCGTTTGTCCGTCTGTCTGTCCGTCTGTAAACAATTTTTCAAAACGCTACTCCTCCTACAGTTTTGGTCTGATTTCAATATGACTTGGCACACAAGTAGACTGCACTACGATACATAGAATAGTGCATCGGTTTTTAATTTCGATGAACTGTAATGCCATGGTTACTAAAAATAGAATTTTCTATGAAATTACTTTAAAATGCTACTCCTTCTACAGTTTTGGTCTGATTTTAATATAACTTGGCACACAAGTAGACTACACTAAGATACATAGAATAGTGCATCAGTTTTTGATTTCGATGAACAGTGTTACCATGGTTACTAAAAATAGAATTATCTGTGAAATTCCTTTAACATGCTACTCCTTCTTCAGTTTTAGTTTGATTTCGAAATAAGTTGGCACACAAGTAGACTACACAAAGATACATAAAATATTGAAATGGTTTTTGATAAGTACAAATCAGTAGAGCTACAGTCTTGACAGAGACTTCTGGTTAAATGAGTTTTCCCAAAGAAAAGTCCTATTATTAAAATGGTTAAAATTTTGGGTGGGTTGCTGCCAAACAGGTACACTCCTCAACTCCCACCCCATCAACATTTTCATTAAAAAAGGGGGTTTTTAAACAACGACTAATAAAAGTGGGGTAACACAGGAGGCTCAGATTTGCATTTAAACTTCAACATGAAGCTTTAAATAAAAACATAAGACTGACATATTAATCTAAGAGCTATGGTACTTGGGTGACCATCAAGACCTGTGGCCATCTTGTTAAGGTAAAGGTTGTGCATTAACCTTAAACCTGTCAAGGTCAGATGTGAATGTCCTATTAGAATTATGTAAAAAAAAAAAAACAAACAAAAAAAACTCTGGTCAGGAGCATACCTTCTTAAATTTTAATGTAAGTTATACTGCAACCTTTGGTTGCCTTTGGTCAAGGTTGTGTGATTAATGAGATTGAATTAAAAGTTCTATGCCAACTGAAAATATTTCTAAAGTGAAAGCAAATTCTCTGAAGAACTTTTCATCCTTATGTCCATTTTTTTCATCCAGTCCTTTTGAGACGACTATCTCAATGTCTTGTTTATAAACTAATGATTTGTTATTCTCTGGTCTTGATACTTCAAGTTTGAAAAAATTAAATAATAGTTGAGCGTTGGGGAAATTGATTACCCATTTTAGAAGATAACATGCTTTTGAAACTAATTTTATTGTGAGATTTTGGTCTTCATCTTTTGAGGATCATTATTTTGTACCTTAGAATTCTTTTTATTGATTTTATGTGTAAACTACCTATTTGTTTCTTTATATCCCTGTTTGAAATACCCACATATTTTTTAAGGAACAGAGAATGGGACAGTAGCTGCCATTCAAAACTTCTTGAGAGAAGATGATGATGACTGCTTCAGCAAGAAATCCTTCCTCTATGGAAAATCCACACATAATCAAGTAATGTTTATTATTAACTATTAGCTAATTTACCACAGATCTTGTCATTGTGTCATATGTGAAGTTGTTCAAACCCATCCCAATATTAGTGGTTATTGACTTACTTAAAAGCACTGCCCTTTCACTTTGAATTTTGACTGAATGACTGTATATTAAATCTGTAACATAGCTTCTAAATTTTTAAATTTTTTTAATTGAAGAGGATAGAGAGATGGTGGGGAATTTTTGAGAAGAAAATGCACAGATCGATGGATTCATCATTTTAAGGTTAGAAAAATACAAGTTTTTTTCCATCCTTTAAGTAAAGTACATAAGCCGAACACTGTTCATTCTGTGAGAGAAAACTGATCAAGGCCTGTAGGGCCAAGCTTTCTCTCACAGAATGGACAGTTTGAGGCTAATATCCAACTTAAAACATTACCTTCATTGTTTTAAGAATGGACACAATCAAGTTAACCTGTTGACAATGCTGATAAATATATTTCTAAACTTTGAAAAATAAAACCAGTGTTGCATAGAACCTTCTGTTGTTCACTTAATGGATAGGCAGGAGGTTTATATAGCTGTGCTGTAAAAATTTCATATTCATTCACTCTTCAATTAAGCAACACCATCTCATTCTTTATTGGGAAGAGCATCTCTTATTTAACAATATTTAAGGATGTAAAAGATGGACTGCATATATTAACACTGGGATAATCTGGATATGGAGGGTGGGAATGTTGTGCCAACTGTTGATATGGCTTACAATATAATTTGATGGAATGATTAAGCCAACCAAAACAAAGAATGCATTGACCGACTCAGATGCAGAAATTTTTCCAGGGGTGCGGAGGAGGTTGACGGTCAAGGTTTAGTTTTATGAACCTTTTCCTATGTTGTTCGGATGATCAAGAATTAAATTTTAGATTGTGAAGAATATGAATTTTAATGTAATGCAGTGAAATTTGTTAAAGTGTATGTTCTGATCATATCTGATGTGATTTGTGGTTACCATTTATTAATATGATAAAAGGCATTTAATATACCCCTGCTCTGAAGGAGAAGGGGGTATACTGTTTTACCCTTGTGTGTCTGTCTGACTGTCCGTAGCAAAAAATTTTGTCGTATTTTTCTCAGCAATTACTATTCATTGCAGGTGCTTAAAATTTGAACAAACTGTTTGTTTAGGCATGCCATATTGTGGGTTATATTTTCTAGCGATCGAACGTCAACTTGACAAAATGAAAACTTTTTTTTAGCCTGTATTTTCAAACAAATTTTCGTCAAAGAATTCTCAGCAAAATTCATCGCAGATGCTTGAAATTTTAACACACTATTTATATAGGAATTCCATACACTTGGATATATTTTTGTACACATTTTTTGGAGGTCAACTTCCTGTTTAAGTCCACTTTGCTTATTTTGTATATTCACATTAGAGCGGTGGTATTACTAGTGAGCATTGGCTCACAGATATCTCGTTTTGATTCCTGATTCTGAAATATGGAGTAGATTTATATCAATACTGGATAATGTATACTAAATATAAAAGCTAAAAATAAACAAAGGATTGAGTAAAAAAATGGTTTAAGATGGATATTCAAGTTAGGCATTATTGTTCTGCTTTTCTATTTATTTTTCATACGGTTTCAGGAATTAGAAAAAGATGGTCATTTTACAATTGGTGATGATCTTCATATGTAAGTTTGCTTTTTCACTTAGAAATAATCAACAGATTAAATAGGCCAACTATTCAATCATTAATAGATTAAAAATAAATAGGCCTCTGTAGCAATAAGGGTATAGACGATTCAAAATTCCTCCGACTCTTCAACTATTCCCCCATGTGAATGAATCTAAAAAAATAAAGGCAAGGTAACAGTCATAGGAGTCTAAGATAAGGGTGTAGAACTCAAAATGAAGCTGAAAATGCAAACATGAGACTCTGACATGTCAATCTAAGGGTTATGGGACTCAAGTAACTGTCAAGGCCTCTTGTTGTTTACATTTTCTGTTGTCTTTGCTTTGTCAGTTGCTACCGGTTTGTCAGTATATCACACAAATATGTGTGGTTTAAATTCAATATCAAAAGTATCAAAGGCTAATGAATCAATCAGATCCATGTTTGAAGCCAAAAAACTAATATCAAGTTTCATTTCAGAACTTTAGTTCAGTACTGCTACATGCAGATTATCAGAGAAGACTTGGAAGAAGTGAAATTTGCCTGGAATAACCACAGAATCAGGAGACAAAAATCAGGTGATATTGTTCCTGGGATACCTGAGCTCCTTTATCATGTTCCTGAAATGTTAGGTCAGTTTACTTGTTTTGATTCTGAAATCATTTACAAAGTGATCAAATTTTTGTTTGAAATACTTTTATAAGAGAAAAAAATTGCAATTGTTTACCTATGTCCTATGAAACACATTGTTTAAAAACAACAAGGTCACAAATGATTTAATATATATATACAAAGTATTTTCCTATGAAAATGTAAGAATTTTTCCAAAGGAGTTTTATATTGAAAACTGAAAAACATGTTTATTTAATTGTGTATGATGTATTATTTCATTTTTATTGTGTATGATGTTTTATTTCATTTTTTATTTAAGGCAATCCACAGTGCCAAAATTATCTTCATTATATCGATGTTAATGATGAGCGGTTTCATTTTCTGAAATCTCAGTGCTGCTTTGGAAATGACTTGGATGATGACATTAAGGAAGCTTTTGACATCATCTCAGACTATTACCCTCCTTCAACAATATTAGAAGCCAGAACTATGTATATTGCTCTCAAAGATGGATTGGAACACCAGATATATCATTAATTTTTTTGCTTTTTTGGGGGTATTTTATATCCTATTCTCATAATTCATGATATATTGTATGAATTCTGGGTTGTGTATGTTTAATTATGAACATCTGTTTGTACACATCAAGTACATGTACTTTGTACATCATCAGGAAACATATTATATGGGAATTGTAAAACATGTACAAATGAAAAACAAAATTAAAAAAAATATCAATGCATTGAATTCTAATTCATATTATCCAGTAGTTCTTTTAATGTCTTTTTATAACTTGGAAGTTTAACCAGTGAATGCAAATTTAAAGAGTCCTGCAACTTACTACTATGCCTACAAGATAACAATTTCACAACTTGTTGACAATGTGACACTACTGAAGGGTGCTTTAAAATTTATAATGTAAATACTATAAAGTAAGGCATTTCTAATGCTCAACCAAAATTTGAACATCGGTCGTCAAGTTGTGAGATACAGAGCACACAATTCTTTGTTATGTAAACAACTCTCGAGTTATGTTTTTAGCTCACCTGAGCCGAAGGCTCAAGTGAGCTTTTCTTATCACATTTTGTCCGTCGTCCGTCCGTCTGTCTGTCTGTCCGTCTGTAAACTTTACACATTTTCGACTTCTTCTCAAGAACCACTGGGCCAATTTTAACCAAACTTGGTACAAAGCATCCTTGGGTGAAGGGGAATTTAAATTTTGAAAATGAAGGGACATATCCCCTGGCAAGGGGAGATAATCAAGAAAAGACAAAAATAGGGTTGGGTTATTAAAAAACCTTCTTCTCAAGAACCACTGGGCCAGTGAAGCTGAAACTTATGTGGAAGCATCCTGGGGTAGTGTAGATTCTAAATTGTTCAAATCATGACCCCCGGGGGAAGGGCGGGGTCACAATGGGGAATCAAAGTTTTATATAGAAATACATAGGAAAAATATTTGAAAATGTTCTTCTCAAGAACCACTGGGCCAGAAAAAGTGAAGCTTAATGGGAAGCATTCTGGGGTAGTGTAAATTCTAAATTGTTCACATCATGATCCCCGTGGGAAGAGCGGGGCCATTATAGGGAATCAAAGTTTTACATAGAATTATAGAGGAAAAATCTTTGAAAATCTTCTTCTCAGGAACCACTGGGCCAAAAAAGCTGAAACATATGTGCCCATGGAAGGTTCATGGGGAAGTGTAGATTTCAAAATGTCTAAATTATGATCAGTGGGGTAGGGTGGGGATGCATTATGTATAACAAGGGGGAAATCTGGTAAAGAACAGAATGGTCAAAGCTTCTCAGGTGAACGATGTGGCCCATGGGCCTCTTGTTTACATTTTGAATTTTCAAGGTTAAGACCTAAAAGGAATCCAACAAATGCTAGAAACTACTTGTTTATGTTCAAAACTAATCAGGAGAAAGAAAAATCAGTTTGAAAAAGATCTCTTTTCGCTATTTTGACCAAATGGAAACAAAAACATGACTGGAGCCTTGTTTACATGACAGAAAAATTTGAGATCTGTATCTTGCTCATATCTGTAATGCATTTTAAAGTATTTTTAAAAATGAAAGCAGAAATATCAAATTTGAGCATAAGCGAGACCATGCCGCTTGACAGTAATGAAGTTAACGTTAAACTTGACTGAATTTCAAACGAATGGGCATTTCAAACTTTTTGGCCAAAAACTCGCATTCTAACCAAGTACAACATGATTACAGTGAAGCACCATGTATAAGTGATTTGGTTGGTTATTTCAATACATCTACTTAACTTACCAATGCATCAATAAAACTTGCTTTAATGAAGTATGAATTTATAATAGAAAAAGCTGTATTTGAGTTTTACTGCTATATACTTCTTAAGCCCTGCCCTAGCACTAGAACCCTTGACCCCAGGGCCATGAATTTCACAATTTTGGTAGAGGACTCAATGCTGATTGCAGTCATGCTAACAGTTTGACTGCTTGATGTCCAGTAGTCAAAAATTGCACTAATTTTAGTGGTTTTGGCCCCACCCCTCAGTCAGAGGCCCCACCCCTCAGAAGGGGGGCAGGGGCCATGAAATTCACAATATGTGTTCCCCTTCACCCATAGATGCTTTGTGCCAAATTTGGTTGAAATTGGTTAAGTGGTTGCAGAGAAGAAGCTGAAAAGGTTCAAATGTTAAAGGATGATGACAGACGTAAAACAGATAGCATAGGTGACCTAAAAAAAGTTCAGGCCCCGAGATTACGAAGCATCTTAAGCTTAAGTCAAATAATGCCTTAGATGCTGAATTGTTTTAGAGGTCAAGCAGCCCGAAATGAAAATTCCTTCCGATTTTGTATCAGTCTGCTGTTGTATGCAAATTATGAGTTTCCTTTAACAAGTTTTAAAGATTTTATAGATAATTGAAATTTTGACTTAAGCCTAAGTCTGTTTCATGATCCCAGGGCCAGGTGTAATGGGATGCCTCTATATTTTGGATATTGTTCTGATCAAAATATACCAGAAGAATTAAGTATAATTTTATGAATCATTAATTTATTCCTTAACCTTAATTGTTACCAAACGGTATATAACAATCAGTTTGTCTACAAATCTTTCGTATCACAAGTTCCAATACAGCTGGGGCTTTTATAATTTTGACTTTTCCAAAAATATTTTAAAGACTCTTTTTGGTCGAATAGGTACAATCTGAAAATTCTAAAAAAGCGTATTTTGATCGTGTTCTTTTATCCACACTAAAGTAGATTGAGTGAAAAATTCCCTTTGGGGCGATGGAGAACAAAAATAATAGGCCTAGTACATTGGTTATATCCGATTCATTTTTAACAGTTCCTTCATCAGGATACCCACTTTTACATTCAGTTTGAGGATAAACAGTTGATCACTGATATAATAATAAGATATAATAAAGAAGAAAATGAATATTGTGTTATTTCTTATGTTTATTAAATTAGAACATCCCCAAATGCAGTGAGAGTTTCTTCTGTGGCAAAATGCTAAAAAAAAAAGAGAAGAATAAACTTCCTCATGTAATTTCATTCAAATTTTGTATCAATTCTTTTATGAGACTTAATTTATGTCTGTTCATGCAAAAGCAATTCTTGCTTGTGTTCAACTTTTCATTACAGAATGATAAAGTACCTTACTTTGCGATAGCAATGTATATACAAGTATACATGTAATATAATCGTAAATTCGCTATAACCGTGTTCGTACTAAACAAGTTTTGCTGTATACTGAATTTTTTGTTTGAGAAGTTAACATGCATGTGTGAATTTACTGACAACAACTCAGAAAACGACTTAGAGTATTGAATTTTTAATTTCTTAAAATGTTCATTACATAAAATACTTTGATCGATGTAAATACTCGGGCTGAGTTTTGACTAGAAATTTTGTATTGCGATATATATTGTATTTCTAATACCTTGATCATGCTATATAGAATACCGGTTTGATAACAGTTCAAACATATTCATGTTACAGATTTTCCCACAAATAAACAAACAATTCATTGAACATTTTATTTACACATTTTATGACAAATTTTCCCACAAATAAAAACAATTGAATCTAAACTTTTTATGTACACACTTTTACAATATTTAAATTTGTATCAAATATAATAATGTGAAAAAAAATGAATCAACCAAATTTTAAAATATATATCACTATTGGAAAGTATGGATGCATTATATATCCATGTTTACAACAATGACTGTAGATCAATACCCTCAAGACATAAGAAATATTATGTAATTAAAACAAGAACATACCAAGTTGATACATAAAAAAGATATGGACTGGACACGTTTGCATAGACAGCTAGACCAACAGACAGATAGACAAGGTTATTCCTATATAAACCCCTCCCCCAACTCTGTTTGTGGGAGGGGGGGGGTATAATGAGATGTGACAAACGATTGAATTTGTTTAATGCTGTACACATGTATACACAAATTGCTAATATATTAATAAAAATACATATTCATGCAATCATGACATTTCCAAAATATGACCTGTTTAAACAAATGAATTTTATTAAATATTAAATGCAAAACTCTGATAGCCCATTGTGGCCACCCTAGTCATCAGGGATGAAGGTGAATGTTTTTTTTTTTTTATTAACTTGTGAGAGAAGGTCAAAGTTGTTGATGTCAAGTGAAAGGTATTTTTGAAAAAATATGTGAAGTATGAAGGTTCTAGTATCTACTGTTAAAAAGTTATGAGCAAATCAAAAGTTTGGAATTTTGTGTAAAAGTGTATTAAACTTCAAGGTCATCATCAACTTTGCTGGTACCCAAACAAAGTTCTTTTCATAAGGAATACCCATAAGCACTTTGAAAGCCATAGATTCACTAATTAATCAAAAGTTATGGGCAAGGTTTTAGTTTATGTGTACAAACAGACAGACAGATGAATGGACACGATAATAAATACTATATAACCTCAAAATTTTTATTACATGTGCATAAAAGTGACTTTTACAAAGGATGAGGTGACTTGCGGCCCCTCGTATATTGACAAAAAAATAAATGTCTAAATTTTACTCAAATTTTTGTATGTAACTAATCACTGATATGTGTACCATCATAGAATACTATTTTTTACAAAAATAGAAACGTGATTTGAAAGATATAGATCTTAGATTGGGGTAGGGGTATCATGTTTACATTCAATTCCCATTGCATTTTAACCCCGCCCACTCTTTGAAGCCCTTAAAATATACGAGCGCAGATAGGTACAATTTTCTCCTTTGGTTGGTCACTGTATTTCATTGTATTCTACCTATATGTGAAAGGAGTAAATTGTACCTAACTGCGCTCACATGCTATTTTTAAAAAAATTGTAAATTCTAATTGCCCTTTCCCATTATAAACAGATCGACGGAACTAGATATTCTGACGTAAGAATGAATTCATATGCTAATTGAGGCACAGGCGATACTTTCTAACTGACCAATCAGCTAAATGAAATTCGTTACGAGTGAGTACCACAAAATTAGAATGTAAACATGCTTGAAATTTTACTGCTTTCCGATATTTTTTTATGCATTTGAGTTACAGATTAGACACGGATCTACATATGTACCATTTCCAAGACCACAGTTAAATTTATATACAGTTACAAACAATTTATAGAATATACATGATATACATTAGTTTAAAGTTTTGTAGTGTGTTTGTTGAGCAATTCGCTAGGTCTACATGTACTCCCAAGTATCGGTGAATACAAGTTTCATGTGCATTTCTTGTCCTAAAAACCATAAATGCTGAAAATACATGCGTATTATTCAGTGTAAACAGCATTGGCTGACCATTATAAAAGTATGAAATGTAGAAAAAGGATAACAGGTAAATTGACCTAAACCACGTGTCTGCGATGAAATGTAAACGTACTAAACAAGCATGTTTTGTTGTTCTGTCATCGGATTGGACAATGACTAAGTGCGAAATAATAACAATAGCCATATAAGGTCTTCTCGAACACGCATATCCCTCTATTGTACTAAGACCCGCCCATTCTCTTGCCATAAAAGAAAATATTCTCACAAACCTGGCCGAATTTAACTGTGATAGGGTCTAAAAAATCAAAGATAATGCAGTATCCCTTATAATAAAAACGTGTCTATACTATTGAAACTCTTCAAAAGGCATCGTATTTATTCACTCATATTTGAAAACTACCAACATCGTTGTAGATTAAATATAATTCGTCGTGGAAAAAGGGGCCCCAGATAGCAGTTATGTCACATCATCCTTTCAAAAAAGTATTCCAATTTAAAAAAATATATATATATTATGCAGTGTACTTGGAGTAGCCCCTTTCCTATCCGGATAAAACATCCCAATTATAATATTCAAAAAATCAAAACATTACGAAAAGTATTCCATGTTCGGAAATTGGAGTGGCCCCATTACTGCCCCCAAATAAAACACTCCAATTACAAAAAAGACTTAGATTACAGAGAGTATTACAAATATATAACTGAGGTGTATTTGGGGCGGCCCCATTACCGCCCCCGATAAAACACTCCAATTACGAAAAAGAATAAAGATTACAGAAAGTATTACAAATATACAAATGTGGTGTAATTGGATTGGCCCAATTACTGCCCCTGATAAAACACTCCTATTACAATATCAAAAAGAAACTATAGATTACAAAAAGTATTACAATTACATGTATATGAATGTGGTGTAAAAGGAGTGGCCCTATTACCACCCCCGATAAAACTCTCCAGTTACAATATCAAAAAGAAACTATAGATTACAAGAACTATTACAAATATATAAATGTAGTGTAAAAGGAGCGGCCCTATTACCGCCCCCGATAAAACACTCCAATTACAATATCAAAAGGAAACTATAGATTACAAGAACTATTACAAATATATAAATGTAGTGTGAAAGGAGTGGCCCTATTACCGCCCACGATAAAACACTCCAATTACAATATCAAAAGGAAACTATAGATTACAAAAATTATTACAATTTGAAATAAATAAATGTGGTGTAATTGGAGATGCCACATTTCGGCCCCTGATAAAACACTCCATTTACAAATACTTTAATTTGAATCATAATTACACAAAAAAGAATTGCTTGATACCAGTGTATAAAGCAAAGAAAACTGCCAAAGCTGCTGCTGAGTTTGGTTCCATTACCGTCTATGTGTAGATTCATATCAGGACATCTCCCAGACCAGTGAAAGTATCATTTACAGCAAAACACTGAAAAAGTGTAAATAAATTTTTCTAAATTCAATTCTTTTCACTTGTTTTCACATATTTGGGTATTCATTTTATATCACTTTAAAATTCTTGGTTGTGTTAGAGTGAATTAAATATCAATTGATTTCATCTAGATTTAACCACAGTAAAGGTGACAAACGACATGTTCCTCAAAAATATATATTAAATATTATATTATGAAATACATAATTTCTCCCAAGAATTTGTTATTGTAGTCTAGGCCCTTAAATAAGGGTTCTATACCAGACATTTGGATAAGATACAAGGGTGATGTTTCTTATTTAACCCTTCTGGGTAATCTTCTGAATGGCCTATATCACAATTTTTGGTGAACTTATCCATGTTGTACTTGAAATAATTTAGAAAACAATGTAGAATTTAGAAATCAGATGAGATTGACTGACAATTAAGTATATATTTTTTTTTTTTTTATAAAATACCAAGTCTAGAAATACAAAACATATTCGTCTGACCTTTACAACTTACTATAGAAATTCAAAGACTGACTTTATGACATCAATACTAAAATTCTTTGTATTATCAAAGACGGTATATAAATACCTACCCCTTCACGAAGGTATAGAACATCCGGCAACTCTTCAACCTTTACTTTATGGGAGTTGCCTAACTCATATATGTGGGGGCAGCCTTTATCCTTGCACATTGTTGGAGCATAACACTCCAGGTGAAACACAGGGGGTAGAATTTCAGGATCTATTTCTTGAACTATCCAGCTGTATACACTCTAAGAAATAATAGTGACATAATATTAGGTGTTTCATAACTTGCATTTAACTAGAGCAATTTAAGTAACTCATAAAATTAAGTTCTTCATTACCTGCACATATATTTTATAAATGTACATGTATATGAAAATAAGAGGCTCACAGGCCTTTAGGTCACCTTAGTATCATAATTAGTAACTTTCCAAAAATTGAATTTGGTTTGCGTTTTATCCTAGAGGCCATAAACTTCACAATTTAGGTAGATGATTTAATGCAATATACATGTAACAATCATGCTTACAGTCTGTCTTTTTCATGTCCAGGAGTAAAGAATAAGATTTTTTAAAAGATTGTATTAATTCTAGTGGATTTACCCTCACATCTCAGGCCAAAGTTGAGCAAGGGTCATGAATTTAAAAATTTATGTTCCCCTTCACCAATGATGCCAAAATTGTTTGAAATTGGTATAACTGAAGCTGTAATGTACAAATGTTAACACACAACACATCTCACATGATGACAATACAGTAAAACTCGTTTAGTACAAACACGTATATAGCGAATTCACGGATATAGAAAAGTTTTTCCGGGTCCCCGGCAAAATTTTTAACAAATCTTTGTTAAATTTTACGGTTATAACTAACTGATATAACAAATTTACAGATATAGCGAACTGATTTTGGTTCCAGTTGAAGTTAAATATAATGAAATTTACATCTTTTATAATGAACTTTCTATGATCTCAAAATTTGATAAATTGAACTAACTTATTTTTGTTCATGGAATTGTCTATATAATTCAATTCACAATAAAACCTTAGTTATCGACGGTATGTTTCGTAATAATTACTTTCCTAACATATCTGGTAGTAATACTTGAAGGAAAAAATGTATATTGCAAATTCACTTTATATGGTTTTACGAATTCGTTATACGGATATAATGAATTACGGATATAATGAATTAAATTCACAGGTCCCTAGGACTTTGTTATAACTGAGTTTTACTGTACAAGAATATCAATAAGTCACATGAGTTTCTCAGGTTACCTTGTAAAAATTATGTTTAAAAAAATCTTGTTTGGTAGCTGATGCATACAATTTAGTTTGAATTTTGTTATACTTTTCATCACTTAAATGTTCAATAAAATAGTATCTCCTTCATAAACTTCTCCTTACCTTGACTGTGTCACCATGCTTAAAAGGCCTATTTATGGCAATACCCCCATGGCTTTCATACACGACACAAAGCAATTTTTGTGCATCTCCTTTGGATGGAAACTCTATGAAGGTGTTTTCTGCAAACTAAAACATAGGTAATCAGAGATTACAGAGCTCACCTCAACGTGTCTTGTCTTTGAGTAAGGCAAATTAAGTCACACAATTAACCAGTAAAAAGTGTACATCCAAAAATACAAAATTTATGCAATTTTGATACTTTGGAATAGACCTATATAAAAACTAAAAACTAGTTCTTCATCATGAAAATGTAATTAAAATCCAGCATCTGAAGCAAGATTGAGAGTTTTCATCCCTTGATGCATCATTTAGGCAACTGGTTTATATAAGCCTTATAGTTTCTTGGTGATAGACTTGCACCCATAACTTTTACGAGGTCTATTATCTGGAAAATGTATGTCGAATTCAGCATCTGATGTGCATCTTAAGATGTATCATCTATGCAAGTTTGGTCAACATAGGGCTTAAAGTTACTTGCAAATGAAACCTGTATAAAATAATTAACCTTTCCACTAATCCAGAAAATGTAGGTCAGATTCAGCCTAGTATAATGCACCCTTAGATGTACCATCCATGCAAGTTTGGTCATTATAGGGCTCAAAGTTACTTGGAAATGAAACCTGCACTATAAAC